TTGACGTTCGATGCGGAGCTTCCGCTTCCGCGCGACACACCCGGCCGGTTTCTTGAATAATTAATAGACGGACGTGAGTAACGAGCTTTTAATTGCTGCTTTAAGCGTCGCGGGACGAGTATCTCGATCTCGGACAAACACCGCTTTTTGCATCGCCGTCGCTCCTCATCATTAATTGTGCCGCGACAATTTTGTCCTCCCTCGTGAATTAAGGCGAACTCGTGGAGTTCTCACTCTTCTATGAAAAAAAAAAAGGGGGAATCGTATATATAATCGTACAGTCTCTTTTATCCTTTTCCCCATCTGACTCGAAACTGAACGACCAAGCATCAATTATCGATTTTACGCGTAATGATCGACGCCGACGAGTTCTCCATACGACGAGAATCACAGAAGTCCAGACTTTAATTTTCACGGAAAATCGCCCGACTCTAATCCGAAGTAAAACTGACGTTTTCGCAACTAACTCCCGATATTCCCGAATTTCCTACGATAAATGACCCTCATCCTCAGCCCGCCATGTTACACATCAGGACTCGGTCCTGCCGAGGGTTAAACCTCGGATTATATCTTTCCCGGGGGAGAAGAGGGATAATTCCAGAACTCGGATAATTAACCCTAGTGCGCCACCAACAAGGGGCTGCGAAATATTCGACTATTTGTATCTCCCTCTGCGATGAACTGCTTTATAACTTTATAACTTACATATAAATTTATGATTCTCCAAATGTATTCTACTGATAAACTTACGACGTATACGTACCATCCGTTACGTGTTTAGTGTTCAGAATGAAAATATATATTCTTAACAATCCGTGATAAATCATCGCACGAAATCGAGAAGTTTCGCGGAAGACGAGAAAAGGGCGGTTACTATAGGGAGGCGAGCTTCCGGTCGGCCGGAAACGACTGGTCGTTATCACGCGGCGAATGTCGTTGACAAAACGTACAACGATGCTTATCATTCGGCGTCGATCGCGTCATCGCGGCATCGATTTTTACGGCGTCGCGGCCGTTCGATTGGAAACGCTGAATAATGGAGGCGAGGAATTCGAAAGAGATCTCGGACGAGAGTAAGAAAAGTGCCGCGGGATCTAAATAAACGACCTAGCTGATTTTATACCTGGTCTTGAGATCCATCACAGATGGGCCGAACTGCGAAAAGTCATTATCCCGACGATGAATCATAGCGCTAATAAATCTCATTGTCAGCAAAGGTAAACGTATCGGGACGCGCGGTACCAAAGTTGAGTTACGAAATCAGATACTTAATTTATTATAACAAATTCACCATGGCTCTTATTGTCTTTATCATTCATTTCCTCTAAATCTCGGATCTATATGAGCTATTTCTCCACGTAGCAGTATCCATAATCTTCGACGAAAAATATCTGAATTTGATATACTAAATCCCAGAGAATGTCGTGTTTTTTTAGCGAATATACCTTGACAAAAAAGTTCATTAAATTTTAACATATATTTCTTTAAACAGTACTAAATAAATATTTACTTGCAGTGAATAAATATTTACTCAATAAAAAAAGAGTGACAGTTGAATCAAATTAATGATTTTGTATCAAATATAGGTTCACATTTAGTAAATATTTATTTAGAAATATTCAAACAAATATTTATTAAAATATTGAATGTTTATTATTTAATATTTTTTTCAGTGTAATGCGAAGCGATTATGTTGTAAGCAATTTTAAACAGGTTTGAATTCAATATGCTTACGCGTACAACAAAATATTCTTTGTATAGAATTTGGGTGAAATGGAAATAAAAAGTCATTGTCATTTACGAGAAGATTTCTCTCACGAGCTAAAGAGACAGGTGCAAAGAAGTTCATTCTTCGATCTCCTGTACTTTCAGCTGGTCTTCTAGTACCTGCGGTCGAACGTCGCGACATCCGATTCTTCTCCCAGACACTCTGTACGCGAACTTAAGAAAATCTGTGGCTTCGCGGAACTATGGACACAAAGATCTGCGGCTTTGGGAGTACGAGAGTAACCGAGGATCCGTGGGATCAAAGATCTAACGTATCTCGCTCCTTTTCGAAGATAAGAGGAGTTTCGTAATTTCTTCCCCTCTGCGCGTCTGTCTCGAGGGTAGAATAAATTTATCCGTATACACGAAGAGCTCTCCAGTGGCACCAGAGGACCAGGAATTCGTGGACTCTTTGAATCCGATAGAACCGCGAATCCACGGCGCTTTGGAGAAACGTGAGAGCCCCGAAATCGAGCGCGTCTGTCCATCCTTCAAGAATACCGGCCACCGTCCTCTATCCTTCCAAAGGATACTGAATAATGGAGGAGCGAGCGAGGAGGGCGGAAAGGCGGAGGAGGACGACATCTCACGAGTTCTCGAGAGGGGCCGACGTGGTTCGAAACGGCGGGGCCCCGAAAACGCCGCGCCAGAACGTAGTGGATGCTAATGCGGCCCTAAGCAAACGGGGATTTCTTTTTTCTACCTGAAGTCGCGCTCATTGCAGGTGGATGAAACGTACGCCTGACGTGTGTGCAGTGTGTACGAGCGACGACCATTTCAACTGTCCCTCTTCCCTCCCCTACCAGTCCATCCCATCCGTCAGGCTGCCGCGTGTGTGTGATATGTACGCTGTGGTACATGTGGCGTGTACGCCTGTATGCGTGCGTACGTGCGCGTGTATACGTGAGTGCGTGTGCATACGTGCACATGTGTGCACACGACGTGTGTTTATTCGGTACCCGTCCGTCCGGCCACCCGCTCACCGTCAACAACGAACACGGCACGTACGATCGTTGTGTCGGCGACGGCGGTTCTACAGGGTGTCTCGCACAATTCGGGACTTGAATCGCGCGCGTTCGTGTACGTAAGTACGTCTGTAGAGAGCGGAGTGGAAGAGAAGAGCGGCGACGTGGTGAAGAAAAACACCCTCGAGATAGTCCCTTCTTTTTTTTCTCTCTTTCTCTTTCTCTCGCCCCCTCTTCCTTTCGGGCGATAAAGTTTAGGGAAGACTTTTGTTCAAGTTGGACTTTTTGGCAAATATTACACATTACGAAGCACATTTAATTTAATCTCAAGTTGAGGTTCGACACAAGTTTGAAAGATTCCAATTTAACGAGACGTTAAACTCGAAACTCGATTGATCTACGTTGAAAATTAACCGCTCGAGAAAAAATGGCGTTCGGTGAAAATTCTTTTCAAGAGGAAACACCTAATTTCCTTCCCTCGATACCGTTAATGATTTTTTAAATACCGCTTAAATGTTAAAATTAACTAAATGCTTCTTCGTTTATAAGCTCACGCTAACCGGATATCTCGTGCAGATGGATTTCTTTACGCCAGGAAAAAAGAAGACACCCTCTACATTAAAGATCCATTTTCTTTCTAGATAAGAGTCATCAAATATAATATGCAAAGAGATGGGAGACGGTGATTCAAACTCGCGTTAACCGATATCATGCAAATGTGAGTTTTAATGTCGGACGGAGTGATACGGCGGCTTTTCATCGTGCTTTAGGGACACCCCATGTATGCGCACAGGGAGACAGATGTACCCTATGCCGACTATGCGCGCTATAGACCCACCCGCATGCACTTTTAACGATCGAGATGATAAGTCGCGCGGAACAGAGCGAGAGAGCGGGCTCTCTCTCTCCCCCTCCCCTCTCTCTCTCTCTCTGTCCTTCTCTCTGCGGATTAAGGTGGCTCCACATCGAGGCGAACAGCACCGCCCGGATCATAATCCGATATAGCCGCACGCCTCGGCGAAGGAGGCGTCCGCCATTTAGGTCGTTGTCGTTGTCGCGAATGCGCCTGCGAATTTTCGTTCTCGCCAATCCGAGGAAGAGCGAGCGGTTGGAAAGCAGCGTGGGGTGTCTATGACGTGTCTACATGCAGAGTGTCTCAACTGCCGCCTGGTGTTAACGTCTTCAGCAGACGGATATTAAAAGAAAGAGCTGCTTGTAAAAACGATCGCTAAATATATATATATATATGTGTATATCGAAGAAATCTGTTTATCCACATCAAAGTCTGCGTTAGGATCATTCGGGTCAAAAAAGGGGGACCGAGGGAAATTAGGTACTTGAGATTATCAACCGTGCGCGAAAGGACTCTTTGTATACCCAAGTCTTTAGCGTTTCTTCGAATTTAATCGGGGAGGGGACTATTACATCGCATCTTATTCTCGGTTAGAAAGGCCTGATCTTCTCTTTTCGCTGTTCTGTAACGCAAACTGTTCGCATATGCAATCGCGTAAAGATACCACGCGCTTTCTCCGCCTTGTGACGCGAATCCTCTCTCTTCTCGCATCTATTTCTGCGAGAACTATATAAACTACACATTTCCGCAAAACAAAAGTCAAAGCAATAACGTTCGTTGATTACGATTATCAATCGAACTTCCTTCAATGTATACGAGAATACGAGAAAATAGTAAACCGTAAAATGATCGGAACTGCAAGACAGCTATAAATTATCACGTTATAAAGTATAGGTTTCCTCAAACACAATGGGAAAGAAGAGAAGAGGAAAGGAGGACAGAGCACAGCCATAATAAGTGTCGCCTATGCCGACTATGCATCGTCTACGTAAATTATTGCGTAAAATGATAGTCTGTACATAATCTATACGTCGGGAATGCTAAGCGTAAACGACAATCGACAACGAGGGTATTGAAGGTTTTGTATCGAATTTGATCGTCGCTGGACGATTGCTGAACAAGTTCTTATTGTTCGCGATGCTGTTATGAATTACGCTTTATCAGCAAAACGCGCGTATTGAGATATGAAGAAAAAGCGTTTAAAAAGAAATTCCTAGCATCTTCTTAATTCCTAACTGACAGCTCTCGGAGATCGCGTCTCAACTTTCTCTCTCATCGAGTTTTCTCGATTTCTATCGATTGCCCGATAAAGAACGGAGGAAGAAGGACGATTCGCGAGTAGTTGCTCGAGATCGAAATTCGACGCACGTTCGCTTCGATTTGCGGTAGCTCGACCGCATTGCCGTTGCCGTAGTCGTTCACGCGTAGACATCCAACGTCGCGAAACCGCCCGGACATCTGGCTGTCGTCTAACTTTGAGGCAGGAGGGCGTGATAACTCGGCGTCTCGTAGAAGCCGGCGGCGGCTTGAAGAGCGTGCAGGGAAGTCGCGTGATGCCTGTGTATCGTGCTCGCGTATACGCTGGAGACGCCAGCCGCGGCAGAAACGCCGTTGGAAGCACCGAAGATGGATGAGGAGGAAGAGGAAGCCTGCTGGCCGATATGCGAGGCCGTTCGCGACAGCAACGTCACCGACGGTCGCCTGTAGGGATGATGGGCGATTGCCGAGACCGCCGATGTGCCGGCACGATGATGGCTGCCCGAGTTCGAGCTCGTGGCCGCGATATTGCTGTATGCCTGCTGATAAGTCTGTCGTAGAATACCGGAGATTGACGTGGACGTCGGAGACGTGACCGACGACGAAGAGGAGGAACTTCGATCGCTTTGGTGAGGTTGATGATGGAGTTGATGAGTGGTAGTGGTACGATGTTGCTGCTGC